GAATTGAGACGAGCCTTGCCTGCCTCTTTCAGGGTTTTTCAGCAGGGACATGCAAGTAGAATAACCCTCAGAAGTGCTGCTGATTCTTTTTTTGTATTTCAACCTGTTCTGCATGTTTGCCTCATTAAGGTGCAGCCCCAAATCACTTGTCCCTGGACATTAGGGTTTTTTTGCCCAGTGCTTTAAAAAGCTGGGCCACCCATCCCAGGAAGACTGCTGCTTCCCTCTTCTCAGCTCCCCGGGACTATTATTATTAATTGTTACTGGCCAGCTTATTTTCTAGACTTGGTGGAGAATAGGAGTTTCCTCTTGCCAGGTGTTTGCATCAGGAGAACACATTGATGGCCCATGTAGAAGGACCTACTTTGTCCCCATTTCCTCCCAGAGTTCCTGGGAGGCAGCAGAGATGAGTATGTAGAGAAGGAGTGTATTTTTCTCTTGGCTCTGAGACTTGATGGCCCAATGTCTTGGGAGGGGTCCCCAGACTCAAGGACATAGTCAGAAGAGCTGATAGGACGGGCTTAAGAGGCACCACAACAGGCTGGCCCCTGCCACACTGTACCAGTGGCTGCTGGTCAATAGGGGGATCTCAGGTGCCGCCCCACCAGTTTCAAAATGACATGATCAATCATGTCATGATTATGCAGGCTGGTCCAGTCTGCTACACATATGCGCAGTAAGGCACCTTGGGGCAATCTTACCGTTCCAATGACGCATGCGCAGTGGAAACACTTGACCAGTTTGAATAACTGAAATAGCTGCTTGTTTAAGTGGGCAGTGGGGCACCTGTACTGATGCCCCAGCCTGGGTAAAGAGCTACTGGGAGGAAGGCGGAAGATTGGGTGCCATGTGCAGACATGCATTGGCTCCAGGCAGCCTCCAGAGCAGCTCCAGCAGGTAAGTGGGGGAGAGGGGCATTGAGGCCCCTGTAGGGAGGGAACTGGGCAGGGCTGGGGCTGCTGCCCAGCCAGGTGGAGCTTGGGGCTGGGGTTGCAATGTGGAGCAGCAGGGAGCAGGACTGGACTACAGGTGGCTCATCCAAGGGAGGGCTGGCTCCCCACTGCCACGTGCACTGTGGGGGAGCCATGCAACATTTCCCGCCTTTGGCTCCCCTGCGCCATGCCCCTGGATGACCCATCAGGCTCTGACTGTCCCACGACCTGACCCGGCCGGGGCTCTGTTCACAGTGAATGGGGCCCCAGCTGGACCGCGTTGTGGGACAATCAGAGCCCGGCAGCTCCTCCAGGAGCGCAGCACCAGGCAGCCAAGGGAGATCCATGGCTCCCCCCGCCCCAATCTTTGCACGGGGCACAGGAGGGCTGCAGCGGTGCTCTGCCTGCTCCATGCCTCGCTGTTGCTTTTGAAAGCAGTGTGGCGCAGTGCCATCTACCTCGCTGGCTGGCCCGCCCAAAGGATGTGCCACACCACTTTCAAAGGCAGAAGCGAGGCATGGGGCAGGCAGAGTGCAGCTGGCAGTTGCAGCCTGCCTGTGCCTCGTGCAAAGATTGGGGAGCCATGGGTCCACCTTTGCTGCTGGTGCCATGCCCCTGGAGGAGCCGTTGAGCTCTTCCTGGGGATGACGCAGGGCAGGCGTGGGGGTCCTGCAGGCTCTGTCCCCCTTGGCCTGGCAGTGCAGCCGAGGCTGGCCCTGTTCCGGCTCCCCCCAAGGAAGTGTAGGGTATGGCCTGGTGTGGGGCGGCAAATTTATAGGGGCAGCCAGTGATGGACAATGACTGGGCGCAGAGAAAGGGACAGGAGCAGTGTACCCTGGTCCCAATCCTGGCCCTGGCTGTGCTCTGATCCCTGCCCAGTCCCAGCCCCATTTCCCCCTATGGCCCTTCCCCCCCGCAGATTTTCCTGGGGGGTAGTGCACATGCATGAATGCACGTATTCAGCCCCCCAATTTTTTCTCCCTTCACCTATGTCACTGGCCCCACCTGTTTCCAAGTTCACCAGCCGCACCTGCGCTGTACATAGCAGGAACTCAGACTACCCTTCCTGCATGTGTCTTATATAATGGCTATGTTTCAGGCCTTGCAGCCCACTATGCCCAGTCTCTCCTAATCCCACAAACCTCTGTTCTGGCCAAACTCTCACAATTCATTAACCCAGCAACCATGGGGAGCTCTGGAGTGTGCTGAATAGGTCAGGGCCTTCTGGTCAGATCAGTGTGGGGGTGGGGAAGGGGGTGGCCTCCTTTGCTGTGGGGGATCTGTCTTCTATCTGCCTGGGGACTGCTGAGCATGTCTGAACCAGCTACTCCATAGCCTTGTCTAGGAGGGTTCAGACAGGACTGATCCTGCCCTGAGCAGGGGCTGGGCTAGACGAGCCCTCCTGAGGGCCCTGCTAGCCCAGCTCTGCTAGGACTCTGATCTGCATGGGGTCCCAACCCAGCCTGGTGTAGACCCTAAGACTCCATGCCCATGGCTCCTTGTGCCCATCCAAGCCTTCAGTCAGTTTCTGTCCATGGGTAGGAGAAGGACCCACTTGGTATTAATGGTTTGAGACAGAATCAGATCATACTTGGACACCTGAGGCCCAGTGAGAGGCCTTTTGTAGTTGGGGGTGAGGGGGAAAGGCAGGCAGGATATGGCCCAGGGTCCCTGGCCAACTGCCATGTGCAGGTCCTGACACAAAGCTGCTTTGTGATGTAGCTCCTATGTCACTCTATCACCATGGAAACCAGGGATGGGCAGGGAATAAATCCTAGCCACCGGTGCTTTCTGATCAGTCTCAGCGCAACCCAGGAGACTCAGGTGTAGGGAGAGGTTTTGTTTGTTGGAAATTGTTAGAGTTAGGAGATTAGTTTAGATAGATTAGAGAGTTTTTAGATACTGTAGTAGATAGGTAGTAGATAGGAGACCAGATAGGAGGAGATAAAGAGTCAATACATAGAGATAGTGGAATAGAGTAAATAGAATACTTAATATAGATCTTGGAGTGATGATACGTAGGGAAGAGCTTAGGTCCCCAGGGCCTCATGGTCCAAGCACTTGGCTTCTTGCTCCTATCCCTCTCCCATTACAGACCAGCTGCTCTGGCCCGGGTGGCAGGGAGAGACGGCCAAGAGACTGCCCAGTGCGGGTAAGGGGCTGGTAACACCTTGGGGTTTTGCAATGAGGTGTGAGGCTGGCATGAGAGTTGCAAAGGGTTCCTGGTGCTCCAGCCTCCTGCTGCCATGGGGGGGACCATGTGCTTGTGCTGCTGCCTGGGATTGCTCTTTTAACCACTTCCTGTGCTCATCGGTGGAGGAAGAAAAAATTATTTGGGAGAGCTGAGCATGTACATGCATGTGAGTGTGCTCAGCAGCTCCCCCCACACACACCCCTCAAATGTGGCGTGGGATGGAGCTGCAAGCAGCTTGTCCGGAGTGCACCTGACATGGGGAGGGGGTGGTGGCTCCCGCTGATGCACGCATTCTGGGAGGACATGGGGGCTTATGCCCCTGGATCTCCACAGGGGAAGGCAGGCTGCTGCTGTGGGCTGGGGCCAGCGCTGCACCAGGCCTTTCCTGGCACGGGAGGTGGAGGGTATGGTTGGGCCGCACTGAGCTCAGGATGGGCAGCAGTGGTGCTGGGAGGGGGAATAAAGAGGAGCTACAGTGAATTTTGGGGTGGCTGCAGCCCCCCTCATAGACTGTTCCCAGCACTGCCTCCACTTACCCTGAGCGTAGCCTGACACAGCCTGCCCCCCACCGGGAAGAGTTCAGTGCAGCCCTGGCCCCAGCCCACAGCGGCAGCCTGCCTCCCCCAATGAAAATCTGTGGGCACATGCCTCCCATGCCCTCCCAGGTAGCGCATAGCAGCAGGAAGCATGACCCCTCACCCCTGCTGCAGCTGCCAGAAGCCCGTGGCCAGGCTGTCTTGCGGCCCTACCCCTGCCCCACATTTGGGGGGGCTAAGCCCCATTATCCCCCTCCTTCTGCTACCTATGCCTGCACTCTTAGCTCATAAGCTCAAGCCCTCTGGCCCAGCTGAGCAGCCCTTAATGCCATTGGTGCAGGAACTCATGGTGTCATGAGGCCTCCTGACCTCTGTGACTATGGCTGTGGTCTGTAGTTGGGTCATGAGGTGCCGGAGTTCTCCCTGGGGCCCTCTGGGTACCCAGGCACAGGCTGAGCAGAGCTCTTCTGGTAGCAGCAATACTGTTGGCTGTTGCCAGGTGTGTTGGGGATCCCTCCTAGTGAAGGGGTGTGTGGGAGCTCTGGGAGCTGAGTGCTGGATCAGCACAGGCTTAAAAGGGCCCTAAAGGTACCCCATGGGTGCAGGGAGAGGATTCCAAGGGGGCTTCTGCTGAGCAGCTCTTCTCCTTCAGCTGCCCCAGCTTCAGATATCGGGAGGATCTGGGGTGCAGCTGACCCCACAGCCTCCTCCTGGTAGACCACGGCTGACGAACAGACCAGCCTGGGTGAGGGCCCCCATGTTGGTGCACCCACCATGCCAACAGGAAGAGGAAGAAGATGTGGGAACCATTGCTATGTCCAGGGGCAAAAGCCAGGTGAGTGGCTGTGAGATGCGTCCTGCACCTTGGACAGGGGTGGTGATTTGTTGGGCCCTGCCTGCTCCCTAACCTGGCACACACCCCCTTGCCAGAGTCTGCCTGCAGTCCTAGGAGGAGACGGTGCTCTCTGCCCTGCCATGTATGAACACCTGCCCTGGCCATGAGGATCAATCTAGTCCCTGTTCAGCCTTCTCTGTGCTCTTCCCTGACTGAGCAATATAAAATCCTCTCCCCAGGGAGTCCCGCACCCCAGGTGCCCTGAGAGGCCAGGCTGGGACTTCCCTGGACTCCGCCTCTAAGCATCTCCTAGGGCTAGGACCTCTGTTATCTGTCTGATAGAGAAGGGGAAATGGAGACACAGACTATGGAGGGATTTGCCTACCATAGGTCTTGGGTTTGTGCAGATGTGTATGCTTGGGGAGGTGGTACGACAGGCATGCCCATGTGCCCTGGGGAAACATCTAGAGGAGCAGAGGTGTCCATCAGGTGGGATGTGTGCATGTGGTGGAGTGTGTACATATACAAGTGAGCTCATACTGGTGACTGGCCTCTGTGTGTGCATGTGTATGAGGCTGTGTCCCTAGCAGGCACTCACTGCTCCCCACAACGACTCACCCATTCTTTCCTTCTACAGCTGCTCCACGCTGAGACCCTGAGGCATAGACAGAAGCTGCCCAAGCTGGCTATGCAGGGAGTGGTAGGTACCCCAACCGGCAGTGACCTAGGTTAGGGTGGGCCAGATCCAGGGCCTGGGGCACCAGATGGGGCCCCTGCCAGGCTCCCTCCCTTAGAGGGCCGACAGATGTGAGGGGATTGGACCCTTAGTGTTCAGCAAAGGGCACAGCTGGCACGGTGACTGTCCCGTCTCCTTCTTTCCTAGGGTCTTGACAGAAGCCCTCAAAGCAGGGTCAAGCTGGATGCTCCAAGGAAGAGAAGTGTGGCCCAGAGGGACCCAGCACCCTGCACACCCCAGCGGGGCCTAGGGAGGCCAAGAGATTGGCCACGTCCTGGATTGAAGCCCTTTGCACCCCAAGTAATACTTGCTGCCCCAGTCCCCAACAACCTGTATGAGACTGCCAGCCTGAGCTCGTGGCTGCCATCTGCATACAGGTGTGTGGGCCCACGTCCCCTGTATTGACTCCCTCATCCTTCCACCCAACAGGATCTCATCCTCGAGAGGGCAGGGCCCAGAGTGACTCCTAATATGTCTGTGTGGGGAAAGGTAGGTCCACCAGCCGCCCATGCCCCTGGGGGTGGGGTGAGCTGTGTTCAGAAACCAGGACTGCCAGGGGGGCCCTGTGAGGCTCTGTGCCCTATGGGGTTCCAGGGGCATGAAGGACTCAGATCCTTTGTGCCCAAGGCAGGGCACTGGTGGCATGGTGACTGTCCCCTCTCACCTGGTCCATCCTAGAGCCTGTTATAAAAGCCTGCATGGCCCACAGAGGAGCAGGGCAAGTGACCTGGATGCACCGTGAAGATCGTGCTGGCCCTTCTCCTCCCAGACTTGGAGCACTCCCCCTGCCAGCATCAAGCAGGAGACAAAACAGTCCTTCATCATGTCTAGTGCCAAGATAGACACCCTTGCAAACATCATGGAACGCATGTTAAAACAGGAATTCTAATATTATAAAAGCCTAAGTTTGTCTGTCTGTAATGCTTTATTCGCGCTGTGATTGGCTGATGGAAACAGCCAATCAGAGTGCTCCAAGCATGGGGGATCACTGCCATGATTCTAAAGCCATGCCAAGGACTGGACTGAGGGTGGGAGAGACAGGGCCAGCACTGCTGGCCTTGGCTTCCCCACCCTGCTCCCTGCAAGAGGCAGAACAGTGACAACATGGGGCATTAGGTGGTGGCAGTCCATCCCATCCCCGTTCCCCCCACCTGTCATTCTTGACAGGCTAGTAAGAAGTAAATGTTAAACAATGTGGGAGTCAGTGCACAGCCCCGCTTTGCTTGGTTGTTGATGCTGAATGAGTCAGATGCTTGGTTTTCATACATTACAGTTGCCTTCATGCCATCACGTAAGGATTTCACAAGGTTTAGCAGTATAGGTGGACAACCAAGCTTCTTCAGAACAGTGTTAAGCTCTGACCAATGAACCATGTCAAAGGCTTTTATTAAATCTATAAAAGCCATGTATAGTGTGATATGCTTCTCTCTGCGCTTTTCTTGCAGTTGTCTTACAGAGAAGACAATCTCTATGGTGGACCTTTCCGACCAGAAGCCACACTGGCTCTCAGGATAGGTTTTCCCAGCTAATGAATGGCAGCAATACTTCCAAATGGTCTGCAAACCACTTATCATTTTTCTTAGTATTTCTTCCAAAACTTTTGCTTGCCACATTGTACATAGTTGTCTTCAGGATTTCCCATGCAGCTGATGCAGTCTCATTCATTCTGGCTGATTTGCTATTTCTTCAACGAAAAGCTATTTCTTGATAGGATCATTGATTTGGCACAAGTCAATACAAGGTTGTCCAGCAGTTTTATTGTGGTGGATCTTCTTAGCTTGAAACTTCACTTTGTAGCAGACAAGGGAGTGGTTGTGCTGCAGTCTACACTTTGGAAGGATCTTGTATGCAGGTTGTTTTTCAAGTGTGTATGATTTTTCAGTAACAAATCCAGCTGATGCCAGTGTTTCAACCTCAAATGTCTTCATGACATTCTTCTTCTGATGTTACCAGCAAAGGTGTTGGTCGCCGATAAGTCTTGACTGGCACAGAGCTCAAGAATTTTCTGATCATTGTCACTCATACGTCCAATGTCATGCCTACCCAGAATCCCAGGGCAGGTCTCAGAATTGGATCCAACACTTGCATTGGAGTCTCCAAGTACTAGGATGGGCTTCTTCCATGGAATCCTGCTGATCAGTTCTTCCAGCTGCTGATAGACGCTGTTCTTCTCCTCATCACTAGCCTGCAAAGTGGAACCATAGACACTGACAGGGTTGATGAATCCCTTCCATAATCTAATGCAGTGTTGTGGTACGTATGGACACTGCAATCAATGTATGAACACTTCACATGATGACATAAGTTCACTTCTGATAGCAAAACCTACACCATGCTCTCTCCTTATTCCTTCAGATTTGCCATGCCAGGAAATGGTGTAGTCCTCTTTTATGAAGCCTGTCACAGATCCAAGTTTCCAAAACACCTGCAATATAAATTCTGAAATGTGCAAGCTCATTACTCAACACAGCCATTTTCCTTAGATCTGAATCCAGATGTGAGTCATAGCCAGGGGTCAGAGTTTGAATATTCCAAAAAGCAATTCTGTTTATAAAATCAGTTGATCCAGGATGTAAGCAGTGAGGCAAGCCTTGTTTGACCCACCTTTTCTAAAGCCACTTTTATGTGAGGCAAGCAGGCCATCCCTAACCAGTGCTGCTTGGAAATCTTGGTAGCTGCCTCAGGGTCCTTATTCCTCTCTCCAAGCCCTGCAACCATTTTGCCAAGACCTTCAGTGCCTAGGCCTAGGCAGAGTCATAGAGCGGAGGCTGCCATAGACCTGTCATCCCCCCTTAAGATCACAGCCAAAATCCAAAGGCCAGAACGAGTCTAGACATTCAGTGACACAGAAATGGCAGCTGCTGCCAGAGAGCAACCTGAATAGAGCTGCTAATTGCCTGTTGCTTCAGTGTGAGTGCCTTTTCTGTCAGGATGAGGTCCCTGAGCCTTTCTTCAACAAAGAAATGTCCACAAAGCAGCAGAGGATGAAGTTTAATGTCATGCCCAAGACAAATGGTATGTCAGGCCGCAAGGCCACAGACAAACTGCCAGGGAGTCAGAGAAGGCCCATCTCTGTGAGGGCAAAAATGGCAGTCAGTCTGGGCTGCACCAGTCTGTACATCTCGTGTTGTACTGTCCTGGCAACTGTTGATCACCTGGATCATGGTTTACATGAAAGAGGTCTATATGACCATCACACCATGACCACCAGCGCATACACCCAGGCAAGAGGATGGAGCACTAGAGGCTGCTGTAGACCTACCACTCCCACTCAGACCATCGAGACAGAGCCCAAAGGCCAGACTGAGTACAGACGTTCAGTGCCTCCATGGATGTAGCTTCTGCCACACAGCAACTGATAGAGCTGCTGCTGACTGCCTCACACCTCAGTGAGGGCACATTTCTCTCAGGATGATGTCCCCTTGCCAATCTCCAACCAAAGAGTACCCACAAAGCAACAAGGTTTTATTGTACTATATATTTATATTGAATAGAAACCTTTAATGTTTAAAAGGAAATATACAGCAGACTGTTGATGATATCATCAGTCACTACCACTGTCATGTGATTTAGTGTTGTCACCTGTCGGTACAAAGGGTACTTATTTACTGAGGCAAATGTAATGCCAACATGGATTTGGATCCATTGTGAAAGGCCTCAGCACAGTGGTTAAGCACAGTGGACAGTAGAAAAAGTGAGGCCTATGACTGCCCTTTCTGGATCCCTGGGGCCTGGGCAGGCCAGAGACAGTAGCTCATGGGACAGCACTGGTGGGAATCACAAAGTAGGGGGGCCCAGCCTCACAATCCAGCCCAGCCCTCCAGAGCTGGAGCCTGTGATCATGATGCCCAGCGGTGCTGAGCCCTTGGAGGCTCCAGACCAGAGCTAAGCCCTTCTGTGGGGGCTGCAGGGCCCAGGAACTACCCTTGTTTCCTGTCTCTTAGCTCTGCAGGCCAGACTGGCTCAGGTGAGTGACAGCAATGGACACAGCCAGCTCCAGAAACAGCTCTATTCATAAACATGCTGATCTAAAAAAAATGACAATTGGCTTGGAGGTCGGGGGGTGGGACACATGACTCATGCGACCACCTGAAAGTCTGGGCAGGGCAGGGTGGGCAGTATGTGGACACTGGGGGCTGGCTTTGCAAAGGCCTTATGCTCCACCTGTACAGTACTTCTCAGGGACGCTGGTGACTTTGGCAACAGAAAAAAAATGGTAAGAGCCCTGGACCATTGTCATGGAGCAGGATACTGTATGGGACCACCAACCATGAGATCTCCAGCTACACCAGGGCCCAGAGCCAGCCACAAAGGGCCTAGCAAGACATGGGGCACCTCAAGCGCAAGGGAACGGGGTGACCCAGGAACAAAGGGCTCCTTCCTGGAGAAGTGAGGTATTCCCTTCCAGCCTCTGCCCAGGGCCCTGGGGAGCCTTATGATCACAACGCAGAAGGCACAGTTGCATGGTAAGACGGCCATAGCTGATTTTGGGTGGAGTTAGGTTACCATATGTCGGGGGGAGGGACATATGACTGGGGAGGGCGGGCAGTGATATGCCTATGCCCTGCCTCCGCACCTCACTCCTAAGCCCCTGCCCCCCCAGCCCTGCCGCCACCCCTCACTCCTGACCTGCAACCTCCTGCCCTCCCAGCCCTGCTGGTGCCCCTCACTCCCGACCCAGAGTCCCGTCCCCCAGGTCCTGCTGCACACATGCACATACAGGCATACACGCTCTCGCTTACTTGGCGGGGCCTGTGCACAGAGCATGTGACCCTTCCCTGACAGCCAATCACCTTGCCCGCTGCTCCCAGCCCCAAGCATCCAAGTTGCTTGTACTTGGGAAAAGCAGAGGCACAGCAAAAACCTGAACATTTGCTTGCATTTTAAAAACCTGCCTGGGCATGAGGTCAGAGGTTCAAAAAAGGATCATGTCTGGGAAAACCTGAATGTATAGGAACCCTATCTAGAGCCAGGGAGCCCTGGCTTCTTCCTACTTTGAGACCCTGGCCTTTCATTCCCTTACCTTTCCTGGTTCTCTGCGATCTTAACTTAAGAAGCAAGCATCCAGTGGTATTTTTGAGAGATGGACTCGTACCTTTTGCTGAGGAGAACAAGTACAACGCAAAATTCCAACCAACAGACACCTCCAGTTCAGTACAGGCATTTATTGGGGCAAAGCCACCCAGCCAGAGGTTCTCTGCACCCCTCCAAATTGTTAAGCACTTCCCATGTCCCCAGTCTAGCCCAGAGGGTCCACAGTACTGTATCTTCAAAGATTGCTTTCCTGTTTTCTTTCTCCAAACTCTGTCCTCAGAAAGTTCCCTGCCAGAAGCTGATGGCCCTCCTAGTCCACTCTCTTATTGAAATGCTTATTTCTCTGTTTCTCTCTGCTGGAGGTTTCCTGCTGTTACCTGTAATCCCTGCCTTTGTTGATATATCAGCAAAGCTATTCAGGTCTCTGTGGATCAGGAATGGACAATTATTTTGGTTGGAGGGCCACTTAATGAGTTCTGGGGACCTGTCGAGGGCTACATCCATCTCTGTCTTTCTGTCCGTCTCTCCTTTTCTCTGTCTTCTTTCTCTTTTCTCTTCTCTCTCTTCCCTTTCTCTTCTCTTTCTCTCTCTCCTTTCTCATTCTTTCACCCCTTCCACCTCCTTCTAGAACCCAGCAGAGCTGTAATTCACCACTGCAGTAGGTTAAAGACCTGGGCGTAGAACCTGGCAGCAGTGTCCACAGTTGATGGCACCACCCTTCCTGTGTGGTGGAAGCTCCTGCCTGGAGCCCCAACCTGGAAACTGCCAGTGGCATCAGCTGTGGACCCAGGCAAGAGCTGCTGCTGCTCCAGGTGGGCAGTGGTCTCAGTTGTGGGCACAGCCAGCAGGTTCTGGAGCTGCAACACAGAACTTGTCTGGCAATGTCACAGCTGATGCCGTTGCTCACTCAGGGTGGCAGCTGCTGCTGCCTGGGTCCACAGCTGACAGCACCGGCATGTTCCAGGTCGGGGCTCTGGTTGGGAACTTCCACCATGCTAGAAGGGTGGCGGCATCAGCTGTGGATGGCCCTGGCAGATTCTGTGTCTGGTCTTCTGAACCTATTGACAGTGTTCACAGCTGATGATGCCACCCACCCACTACAGCAGAAGCCTCATCCAGGTCCACAGCTGATGCCAGATGCAGTTGGGTGGAAGCAGTGCTGCCTGCTCAGCACCATGGGCAGCCAGAGTCACCAACCACCTGCAGGCCAGATCCCACAAGCTGTATTTTGCCCACCACTGCTGTAAATGGATGCATCTTCTGCCAGGTAGGGGTCAGCAACTCTGGCTTCATTGTCCCCTTAGCTCATTCTTTCCCCATGTACTAGCTTTATTGGTAAACTGAGTCATGTACATTATAGCAATATGAACACATTTAAGACAGAAATATTACAATAAATCCCATAGTCAATTATAATTGTGGAGGTTGGTAATTTAAGCAGGTTCAGATGGAGATTGGACAAATTCATGGAACATAGATCAGTCAATGGTTATTAAACATGATAGAAGACACACTCATCTACAGAGACTTGACATATGAACAAAAGTGGGGACTGCAGGCAACCTAGGACTTTGGCTGTGAGTGTTGTGTTGTAGATGGGGAAAGGCAGGGGACAGATTAGTTTGGATGGGCTTTACATCAGTGATTCCCACCCTTTTTTTTCTGCACCCCAGTACTGGGAGCAGAGTGCGTCAGTGGCAGCTTGAGAGTTGGGGCGGGGGAGCTCATCTTTTCTGTGCAGCGCTGCCAGGATAGCCCCCGTGACCCTCATTTGTGTTGTGACCCGGGGTTGGGAACCACTGCTCTACATAAATACTCCTTCCTTTAGCATCTGCTCTTTGTCACCGAGAGAACCAGGATAGACCAATTGTCTGACCCAGTATGACATTCACCTTAACTTACTAAAGTAGAACAAAACAAAATCCACATTTTCAGAAGTTCCAAAAACAGGTTGTTCTTCAAAGACCCAAGCCACCATCAGTGCAATGAAGCCCAACTAAAGTAATAAATTAATCTTGAAACTCTATTGAAAACCTTTTAGTAATCTACAACATTAAATCTGTCTGAAGTTTTACTATGTGGTTTGAGTAGACATCTGATATGTCTGTAATCTTGTCCTTGAAAATGGTGCAAAAGGTATAAATTTTTTTGTCATCCAACATTACTTCCAGCACCTGATGGCAGTCTGGATGAAGAGGATTGCCAACCCTGAAGACAGCTGGTGAATAATTTTATAGACTGTAAGACTTTAAGGCCCAAAGGGTACATTGCAATAATCTAATCAGACCCTCTGTATAACACAGACCACAGGATTTTATGCTGTAATTTTTGCATCAAGTTCATAACTTTTGTTTAAACTATAACATTAAAAAAACATTGATTCAATTTAAAGGCTTCAGTGATGGATAATCCAACATATCTTTAGGTAGTTTGTCCTAGCACAGTTTATCTTCTCTATTAAAATTCATTAAACAGATGAAAATAGATTATTTATAAATTAAATTTGTCTGGCTTCGTCTTGCAACCATTAGATCTTATTGGGTTTTTTTTACTGTGAGATAAAAGAGTCATCCATCCATCAGCCTCACCAAATAAACTGACTTCATAGACAGAAAAAATTAGAGATAAATAGAAAAAATTAACTTGCAGGACAGATTTGTTTTGCTCAGTGCGCTGCTTATTTTCTCTATGTTTGTTGTTGAGTCTGAAAGCAGAAACTCATTGAGGGGGCTTTCTGAGAAACTATGCTAGTATAAGAAAAGACTGGTACTCAGTCACTGAGTGCAGTGGGCAAAGCTGTCTGACAAACTTTTACTATAGGGATCACTCTGCGGGCGCTCATGCCCATAGGTTCATAGATGTAGGGTCTCAAGGGACCTGAGCAGATCAT